CCAACCGCCCGCCACCGGCCCCACACAGGCCGCTGGGCCAGGCAGGTCCTGGCCATCTGACCCCCGTCTCCCGTCTCAGGTGAAGGAGAAGAGGGGCTGGACCCTGAACAGCGTTGGCTACCTTCTGGGTCCAAGTAAGTGACCAAGAACCTGAACCCGCAGACGCTGCACCTGCCGCTGCGGCAGCCACTCGTGTGAATCCTGCCGCTCTGAGCTGCTGGGCGTCACTCTGACCCGAGGCCGGTCCAGTGTTAAAGGGCAGGGGCGCTTCCTGAGGCTTGGAGGATGGGGTCCCCTCAGGTTAATGGCATTTGCCACGTCTCTAGGTGGCACATCGCCCTCCCTGAAGCCACACCCCCACTCCCCTTCCTGTAGGGCCTAAAGGGACTCAGTCCCCCGCCCTGACCCCACCTGCCCTCCCCCAGCCTGGAGGCGCCTGACTCTGCCTTGAACCCTGACCGCCCTGCGGCCCTTGCACCCGTCTCCTGCCTTCTCGCTTTTTGCCCACATTCCTCAGGGCTGCCTCCACCCGTTTAAACTGCCCGGGAGCTGTCTTAGTCCTTAATCCTGGAGTTTAAGTACATACTTTCTCCTGCTCAGACGGTTTATCCGTCGCCCGGGGGTCCTTCAGAGCCCGGCACTGATGGCAAACACTAGGTGGGCCCAGGCAGGACCCACGGGTGCTTGGAAGGGGTGCACGTTCCCCTGCACCCTCCGCACCCGAGCTCTCTCCTTCAGAGAGCACCTCGTCTCTGGGTGCTCCTGGTTCCCGAAACAGGAGGAACCGTCAGCAAAAACGTCACTTTGGAATGTTGACAGCATGTCAAGGAGACTTCTCACCCTGAGTTGGGAAACACCCTTTTCCACTGTGAAGTTTTAAGTCTCTGCTGAGTTGGACCCCCAGGAGCTGGCATGCAGACAGCTCTTTGTGGGAAGTCCTTACAGCCTAATGGTTTGCCCTTGACCTCCACCGCCCGCGTGACCTCCACCGCCCACCTAGAAACAGCGCCGGAAGAACGCGTTTGCAGGGAACACCCAGCCGCCCACCGGATCAGCCCACTTACCGCCTTTCTCAATCTCGTGCCAGGAGCTCTGTCCTGGGAAAATGAGTTAATTTTCATTCATCCGGCTTGTGGATGACACAGCCCACCAGGCCCAGCAGCCAGAAACCCTGAGCCGTCCTCGCCCTCGTCCCCTCTTCTCCTTTATCTCCTAAGTCGCCCCAAATCCAGCCCCCTCTCCTCATCCCAGGCCACTTGGTATAGAGCCCTTATTCTTTCTTCCAATAGTTTCCTAAGGGAGCTCTCAAGAAGCACACCACCCAATGCACACACAGTCACCCAGCCTACCCCACCCCAAGCATGTCTGTCTGTCTCCCTGCCGCGCCCCCCCCCTCCCGGCTCTGATCCATTTCCCACACAGTTGCCAGAGTGAGCTTTGAAAAATAGAAATATTTCGGTACCTCCCTTGTTTTCAGAAACATAGGCCCCGAGCCCCGGTCGCCTGCCAGCACCCCGGGAGCCTTGTGCTCCCCACTGCGGCAGGCCTGTGGGCTCTGGGCCCTGGTCCTGTGAAGTCCCAGCACCTGGTGATGAACTGGGCCCCGGGTCCACGCTGTCCCCCATCTCCTGTGGTTCCCACACTGGGCTCAGTGGCCGTCGGGTCCTTTGGGCGGGGGGGGGGAGGGCACAGTAACGACACTCAGGGGCTGTCTGCTCTGCTCTGCAAACAGAAGCTGTTGACAATCTCCGGTCATTCCATGACAAGCACGGCCTTGCTGGCAAGCGGGTCCTGCAGCCTGAAGACGGCGCGAGGGCAGGTGAGGGGACGGGTCCCGGGGCTCTGAGGCCCTCCACTGTCCACCTCTGGGCACAGGGCAGTGGTCCGAGCCGGGCCCGGCCACATCGGTCCGCTGCGAGCAACAGAAGCAACGACAGTGGGAGTAAGATGCCGGGGCAGCGCAGGGATGGCGAGAGCCCTCTAGCCTTGGGGCCTCCAGGAGAGGGGCCCCCGAGGCGGGTGACAGAGATGCTGGGGTTCATGACCTCGGGGTGCCCGGAGCACCTGTGTAAGTCGTAAATGTCAGTCCTTTGGGTTTCTAGGCGACTCTGACCGGCCGCTGCCCATGAACGATGATGTTGTGCCCAAGATAATGGAGTTTCTGACTTTCTTGCATCTCAAAGGTCAGTGAAATGTGGCCGATTTACATTTCCACCTCCTAGAACCCCGGGTACTTAAAACGGAAAGGGCTCCCTAGACTTCTGCAGTGACCGATCCCCACGCCTGCTGGTTGGCGTTATAGCCGGGAACTGGAACCAGCTAAAGGAGGGCCGGGCTTGCTGCCAGCCCACACCGTCCCTGGAAAGGGTCATCAGACCTCCTGTTCCCAGAGAGAGAGAGAGAGAGAGAGAGCGCCTCAGGGTTCCGTTCTCTCTGTGCACTATTGATGTGGCAACAACCCCTGTCCCTGTCCGGCCACAGTGCCCCACCGCTCCAGGTCTCGTCAGCACTGCACCTGAACAGGGGCCCATCCATCAGATGTCGGCTTTCCTTTGGGTTTGGGGCAGGCTGCGTTTAAATGCACGGCCCTCGGCTCTGGACCTCCTGCAGACGCTGCCCATTTCAACCCTGGCTTTGCCGTCTGTGCTTCATGCTTGTCATTCACTCAACAGTGAGGGCCTGGCCTTTGCCAGATAAGCTCACAGGTCAGCCTGCCCGTGGGAGGCCTGCGCTCTGAGAGTTAACCGTGCAGGTGGGGGCGGGGGCCGGGGAGATGGACGCTCTGATGCTCACGAGACACAGCTGGTTGTCGTTTCACACGTCATGATTTTGTGTGAGTTTGAGAGTCCAGGCTGATTCTGTCCTGTCTGGACCCTGTGAGGTGAGCTGGGGCTGTGATGTCCTCCGCGCGGACAGCAGGGGCTCATCACCCAGAGTCCGTCTCTTTGCAGAGGCCGGGGCCCTGGTGCCCATGCTCCCCTCGGCGGCGTCCTGGGAAGACACAGAGCAGTCAGCCCTGAGGGAGCCGGGCAAGGCCCTCCCGTCCCAGGAAGTCAGATTCTGAGACGATGGGTCAGCTTGTGCCAACTCCCCGAGTCAGCCAGCCCCTCCTCTCCTTTGAAGCTGTGTTGTTATCATTTAAGATTTCCCCTTTGGTAATTATTCTCGTGGCAAAATAAAAACCAGCAAGTGTTTCCGTGTCTTCCTTCCTTGTGCCTGTCTGTCACCACCACCAGAGTGCTTTACGACAAGCTGGAGCCCTGGCCAGGTTGCCCAGTGGTTGGAGTGTCGTCCTGTACACCAAAAGGCGGCGGGTTCAAGTCCCAGTCAGGGCATATACCCAGGTTTCAGGTTCAGTCCCTGGTCAGGGTGCCTACAGGAGGCAACCAATCAATGTTTCTCTCTCTCCCTTCCTGTCTCTACAAAAAATCAATAAAAAACATATCCTTGGTGAGGATTTAAAAAGATAAAAAAGATACGGCTGGATTGTAATCACGTGCATTAGATCAGTGCACCTTGGGAACAAGGGCTTGTGCACACTAAGCCGAGTCACACACAATTATGAGGGTGAGTCTGTTACTGAGGCAGAAACAAAACAGACGCCCCTGCCGTCCTGGGGCCAGCAGGGGCCGGGGCCCGGAGTGAGCTGGGGACCCACAGGGCAGGGAATTAAAATCCGTGTGGTCCAGGTAGAAAGGTGATTGTCCCGAAAACTTCAAGTGCTTCATAGCTGAGGAGAGGCGTGCCCGTCCGGGTGCGGGAAAGCCAGCACCTGGCAGAAGATCTGAGGACCAGCGGTGATGGTGCATCCCGAGGGGGAGGCGGTCACCCCTGAAGACCCAGAGGAATGCGGCGAGGGGATGGGGGAGAGCATGCTCTTAGGTCACGTGACGATGCGGGGCCTCTTGGCCTGGGGAGCAGGTCTCTGGCTGCATCACATGACTATACGCACCTGCACTTGGCTGTTACTTCTCACACTGACTTTCCTAAAAGCTGTGCTGACTTGATAACCCTCCCCCTTGAGCAACCCACAGGGGTCACGCCTTCCAGTGGCCTGTCCCTGGCTTTTAGGCTTCAGCTCAGCACACCTGGCTGCAGCGCTGGGTCCCCACCCCAAGGTGCAGGTGGGCTCCCCTGCTGTGCTGGATCCTGGCTGCCTCTGGGCTCTGCAGGTCAGAATGGGCTGGGGGACCTGTTCCCTCCCCTCCACACCTGACCCTCAGACTCCCGGCACTTGCCCTGGGCCTGGTGTGGACTAAGATGGTGGTGAGTGTGAAACACTCACTGGATGTTAGGATTGGTGCACGAAGAACGTGAAACGGAGCAACCACTTTTATTTTGGTTTCATATAGGAATAATTGTGTTTTGGATATATTGGTTAAATAAAATCATTAAATTGGCCTGGCTGGTGTGGCTCAGTGGTTGAGCATTGGCCTACGAACCAGGAGGTCACGGTTCGATTCCCAGTCAGGTCACATGCCAGGGTTGCAGGTTCGATCCCCAGTGTGGGGCGTGCAGGAGGTAGTGGATCCATGATTCCCTCTCATCATTTATGTTTCTATCTCTCCTCTCCCTTCCTCTTTGAAATCAATAAAAATATGTTTTAAAAAAAGATTATTAAATTGAATTTCACCTGTTCCTTTTCACTTTTTTAAAATGTAGTGACTAGAAATTTTAAAACTACCTGTGTGGCCGGCAGGTACTGCCATTTGCCCTGCTGAGAAGGAAGGCACCCCAGGAGGAGTCACAGAGCCCCATCGCGGCCCCCTTCTGCCCGAGGGTGCGGGGGGTGGGGGGCAGGTGACCCTTGGCCGCAGTGTCCCCGCTCTGCCCCAGCTCCGCTCCCGAGAACTCACAGCTCTGCCTCTACCTCGGGCTTTCGCCTCAGAGTCTGGATCCGGGTGGGAGACAAGGGGGTTGAAACAGAGAAATGAAGTATCAGAAGGAGGCTGTTCCAAATATCGCCGTGCTGGCCTGCTCCAGCTCCTGCTCCCCAGTGTGCCAGGGGCCCCAGCCACACTGCCCGCCTGCTGTGCCTGTAATGAGCTTCCGAAGGTTGTCTGCGGGGCCAGTACCATCCACGCACAGAAACATGACGAAGTGTATTTTCAGTCACCAAGCTAATTACAGCCACAGGAGACAGCTGAAATTTTTATTCTTTGCTTTTACAATAGAACCAAAGGAGTCAACTTAACAGCTAATATTACCTGCTACTTTCTGCAAACTAGTCAGTTTAACCATACTCTACCAACAACAATAGCTTAACAGTAATCGTGGAGGAGTTATTGGACAATAGCACTTTTCCACAATCAAATAGAAACACCTAAGAAACTGATACATTTCCGTCCCACAACTCAAGATGCTACGGGTGGAAGCGCGGCCTGTACGCCGCTGCCTCTCGGTGTCCGGGCATCAGCCGGGCTGGCAAGCCCTGGGCCCTGGGACACGCCCGCCCTTGATTCCTGGGGTGTTCAGGGCTCTCTAGAGATCTCAGCTGCCCAGCGGAGACGTTATTTCTAAGAATCGGGGAAATCTGAAGGCTGTTATGCAGAGAAGCCCCCAGAGGAGACTCCCCAAGGGGATAAGGTCAATAGGGTGACTCTTCCCTCTCCCGCCCCGTATCCACCCACCAGCACTGGGTGTGGGTGCAGAGGTCCTAGGCTCACGGGAGCCCACGCTCCCTCCTGGCCCCGCCATGTTGTCAGTCACACCCCTCCTCAGACAGGGGCTGTGGATGCCAAACCCTCCCAGACTAAGCCCCCTGGGTCCTCTGGTGCAGAGGGAGCGCCCACCTCGATGGTGCAGCTGTGGACACAGACTGGCCTCGTGTTCCTTAAAGCAGCCTTCTCCTCCATGGGCCCCCGGAACCCCGAGCGCAGACCCACGGCTCCTCTCTCCTCCCACCTTCTCCTCTACTCCATCTTCAACCCTTTGGACTTAAACTCCATGTGGAGAATCTGGGACAGGCACCTCCCGAACTCCTCCAGGACCATCTGCTGGGCCAGGCCCTCCGAACAGCGCCCCTTCTCCGCCTCCTCGCCCTGAGCCAGCAGACAGGCGCACGCGGCTTCCACCACCTCCCAGGAGATGCATGAGGACCGCCTGCAGGGACACACCAGTCAAGGCCACGGTCAGAGGCCCGGCTGTTCTTAGAGGCCGGCGTATTCACGGGGACGGGCTTGTCATGCATTTCAGAGACTCACTGACAAAACCAATGCTGTCTTCCTGATACTGACAGCTGCTCACTAGAATAGCATCAGGACTGCTTTTAGAAGGAAATACAGAGGAAGGTAAATCTGTCAGCTTCTTGACATCCCTCTCGTGGTCGATTCTAAGTTTCTCAAAATTAGATCCTCACAAACCCAGAGGCCTGGGCTCCGGGCAAGCCCGTGGCTGGGCAGGAGCAGCAGCAGGAACCTCAGACCAGACCAGTCCCTGCGGACAAGCAGCCTGGTCCAGCGCCGTGCAGGGCTGCGCCGCCCTCCTGGGTGCCCGCTCCCCCACAGGTGTGCATGGGGCTGGGGAACCCCAGGGGCTCTGAGGACTCCCTCGTCTGTCACCCCTGGGGTGCGCTTGCTCTGACTGCCTAATGGGCCCTGAGCAAGGACCTGCAAGACGCTGTGCTGAGTCCTGCAGGGGCAGCCAAGTCCCCAGGAGATCGGGACAGCGTGGCTCAGCTCAAGGCCGCTCACATCGAACACTTTAGGAAAACTCTATTAAAAAGTGTTGGGTTATGAAAATCGAGATAGGTGCTGGGACTGGTTAAAACCTCTCACAGCCCTGGCCAGTTTGGCTCAGTGGATGAGCCTTGGCCTGCGGACTGAAGGGCCCCAGGTTCAATTCCGATCAAGGGCACATAGTCGGGTTGTAGGTTCAATCCCCAGTGGGGGCGTGCAGAAGGCAGCCAATCAATTATTCTCTCTCCCTCTCCCTTCCCCTCTCTGAAATCAATAAAAATATATTAATAAAGTAACACACTTAAAAAAACACCTCTCCACCAAGGTAACACGCAAAAACTGAGTTGAAGGTGAGAGGACAGGGCTGCCCGGGGCGGAGCTATCACATTGAGACCAGAGTCCACGGCTCGGAGCCCTCGTCACACTCCATCGACACGCGGTCCAGGGGGAGGCGGCCACCTGTCCCTGCAGTTTCCCAGAGGACTGGGCCACGCCTGGTCAGCGTCCACCACACAGCCCTCCGCAGGCCACAGTGAGGCCGCCTCTGACGTCTCTAAGCAAAGGAGCATGAACGTGGCTGTTCAACAACATTAATGACGTGTGAACACAAAGACGGTTTTTAAATGGATAAATCTAGTCCAATATGAAGTTATTACTCAATCTTGGAGCTACGAGGACCACATGGCCGCAGGCTAATGAATGGGAAAATGCCCGCTGCACGGGTTCATTGCGCTGGGGAGGACCAGCCTGCGTCCCGAGCATCTCTGTGCTACCACCACGCGGTGACGGTGACGGTGACGGGTCAGAGGTTTGCTGCCTGGAAGCCACACCCCGCAGCCCGAGGCCAGGGGCCTGCTGGTGGCACCTGCTCGGAGGACAAACAGGACAAAGCAGCGGGGCCTCTGGGGACAGTGTGGGTCCAGGGTGAGTCCGGAAGGGGGGCGGCACCCGTCCAGACGCTGGCGCCCGCCCTGCAGACAGGCCCGCCCCTTCCAGTGTGTGCGTGAGCCCCGTTCCCCATCAGGAGGTCAGTTCCGAGCACCTACCTCTCTTTCCTGAATTTGGGGAGTCCTGACACGTAATGGCTGCCTTCAAAACTGCCAGCTTCCACGTAGTTTGGCACGGCCATGAGCGTTTTTTGTTCGGGGCTTTCTTCATAATGTTTGCAGCCAATGCATTTGCAGATAGAGGAGCACATGATTTTGGCCTGGAAATAGAGAATTGTCCTACAATCATCCAGAAGAACAAATTCTGTTTGGACCTTCAATAGCTTTATGGTGTACACATAACCAGCAAACTCCTTCATGGATGTGAGGAGCGTGAGGGGCACATGCCCAGGTGCCGCTGTAGAGGGGACACAGTGGGGTGCTGACAAGGAGGTGGGGAGGGGCTTTGGGAGGCTGGGTGAGTGTGGGTGGAGTCCCCAGGGGGCGCTAACTCTGATTTTGAATGCAGCTGCGTAGCTGGTTACACAATCCCAGCTCGGGTTCACCTTGGCCTGCAGTTGAGGGCACCTCGGGCTCCCACTGCGGCAGAAGATGAGGGGGTGGAGGAGTCTGAACCTGCCGGCTGGCCCGTGCTCGGTGTTCTGGGCAGGCCTACCTGCCGCCCAGTGGGTGGACTTGATTCCTTGTTTCATGGCAGTGTTGCACCCAGGGGGCAGCGAGGGGGTACCGGCTGTGTCCAGCAAGCCTGGGTCCAAGCCCTTGCTTGTGCCGGCCCTGGGCATGGCCCGCAAGCTGGCCCTGGGACACTGGGGTTTCTAGCGTCCTCTCTGCCCAACCCCTGCCATTTCCCTCTGTTCCTTCCAGCTCAGAGGTGTCTGTGTGCTTTATTCTGCACCTCTGGGTGTTTTGAACGGAGGTTTCTCGGGATTTCTAGTTCCTCTATAATGCCAGGGACTACAGGTCCCCTGCACCTCACGTGGCCATGGCTGGGCAGAGGCACGTGGCTGACACAGCGTTACCCAGCAGCCAGCGGGCGCAGTGAGGAGCAGGGACGCCACAGCGCCTGGGGCTGCGCTCGCTTTTATGGTTCGCCATCTCTGCACCAGTTCTGACTGTATTTTCAGGATCTGCATGGGGGTAACGGAGGGGGGATGGACGGCTAGGTCTGCCTGCCGGACCTTTTAGCGCCCATCTCCAGAATCATGAGGCCTTTCTTACATCTGAGCCTCTATGACAACTTTTTAAAAATGCAGCTCACAGCCCGGGCCGATGTGCTCAGTGGTTGGAGCTCAGCCCATGCACCAAAGGGTCGAGGGTTCGATTCCCTGTCAAGGTCATGTATGTGGGCTGGGGGTTCCCTCCCAGCCCCAGGTCAGCTTTGCCTGTCACTTGCTCTCGCTGTTCCCTGAGGAGCCAAGTGACCGGCCCCGTCGTCAGTGAGAAATGCACCGCCGGTCCGTTCACTCCGCTCACACGCTTGCCGTCTCCTGCAGCCAGTCTATGTTTGCTGGGTTTTTGCTGTAGAAAACGAACGGTTGGTGAAGATGCCGAGGAAATGGCTGTGTCTGTGGACGCGTCTCCTCCAGGGTTTCTTGTTGCCTTTCCTAGGACAGCGGGACCCGGGGCTCTGCCGTTGGCTCACTACTGCCCACGCGCCCGTTCCGGCATCTTCCCGCGGGACCGACACAGCCAGGTGGGGCGTGTGCACGCCTGCTGCCCTGGTCTTACAGACGCAGAAACTGGGGTGCTGGAGGTTGCATAGCGACGGCAAGTGATGGAATCGACTCCAAGGCCCACCGAGCCTGGGTCTCGACCACTGGGCTTGCTGTTCTCATGCAACTCAACTGCCTTTTATCCGGCTTGTTCACATGTCTTATCCATCTACCTACCTTCCCTCTAGACCAGCCGTGGGCAAACTACGGACCGCAGGCCGGATCCGGCCCGTTTGAAATGAATAAAACTAAAAAAAAAAAAAAAAAAAAACACGAACCTTTTTATGTAATGATGTTTACTTTGAATTTATATGAGTTCACACAAACACTCCACCCATGCTTTTGTTCCGGCCCTCTGGTCCAGTTTAAGAACCCATTGTGGCCCTCGAGTCAAAAAGTTTGCCCACCCCTGGGCTAGACACACAGATGTGCACATGTTCTTAATAACGTGACTCGGTGCTCTTCATAAACAGACACTAGTCACTGCGCAGTCCCGTCTGCAGGCTGGCAGCTGGGACCTGGGCCATGTGCTGCAGGACGAGGTCAGGACTCTGAGCAGGCTGTGCCCCGTGTGCCCCACCCAGTCAAGTTAGACCGCCCAGCCCCAGAGACTCCCGATGACGCCTGCCCATCGACACCCCCAGGGGAACCTGTTTGGACTCTGGGGCTTCGTTCTGCTGGAACCTCCCGCAGGTGGCATCATGCAGCGTGCACCCTTCCCGCCTGGCTTCCAGCAGCGCACGCCGGGAGGTCCTCCCGCAGCTACACAGCTCTCCTCCTCCTGCACCTCTGACGGCCAGCCCGCAACGGCTCATCGCCCTACCACAGACGGACACCCGGGTCGGGTCCGGTTGGAGGCTATTATGAGTAAAGCTGTTGAGGGCATTCTTGTAAAGCTCTGGTGGACATGTCTATTGGCTGTGTGTTAGAAGTAAGATAAAACTGCGGGGTGATGGTACATGCAAGGGTTCGCTGTAGTAGTTGGTGCCAAACAACTCCCCAAAGTGGTTGTACCAGTTTATATTCCTACCAGCAATGCACGGGAATGCCACCACTTTTTAAATAAAGCGTGGTACACTGCAGACAGTGCCTTTTACCCTAAAGAAAGTGCTATTCTACTGAAGTTATGTGTGTCATCAATTTCAACAAATTTATCTCTAATTCAAGAGGGGAGTTAGATTACTGTAGGAACAAGGAACTGACCAGCCATGGCGCATGGTGATCTCTGGTCCACAGTGATGGCCTCACTGTCCTGTGCAAACTAGGCCCCCGGCCCCAGCCTAACTGTCCTCCCTGCTCTGGGCACCTTGTGTGTCCACAGAAGAGGCGCTGCAAGCTCCCGCAGGTAGCCGGTAGCAAGCGGCCTGCAGGGCGGCGGCCTTGAAGGGAGCCCAGGTTCTCCCGTCACCCGGACGTCCTGGAGCACAATCGAGACATTCGTGATGGCTGAGAGCTCCCTCCCCATTTCCCCCGGACAGTGGACCAGCCACACATCTGCAGAGCACGCTGCTCCAACGTGGGCCTCTCTGCTGCGTGTATGACCCAGTTTCTCAGGTCGAGACAACGGGGACATGTGCGTGTTCTTGGATCAGGACCTCCCGAGCCCCGGGGCGTCCCAGGGGAGGACAAAGCTCCCTCCCTGTCGCTTTCTGTGTACATTCTTCAACACCCGGGCTTTCCCCAAACTGAAACGCAGACGCTCTGGCGGTGGTTTTCCGCCTGCGAGACATTTCAGTGCTTCCGAGATGCTTTCGTTTAATGGGAAGGCACTTACCTTAATGGCCTTGAAGCGCTCGAGTCCGTGGCGTAAGTGGCTGCTGCAGGCATCGCAGCTGCAGTTGTTGCAGAAGTCCCCGCTGGCAAAGCAGTCGCAGTACCTGTGGGGATAGTCGCACAGCCTGTCACAGGCCGTGGCCGAGTCAAAACCATTTCCTGGAAATGTCCACTGATGCCCACCATCCCCTGGCCCCACTGCTGTTGTCCCGGGAACACAGCAGGTTGGGGTGGACATGTCAGTTAATAAAGAGCTGTCTTCCCACCAGCTGTCCCCGCCCCTCTGCCACAGCACCAGAGACCCTCCTGGGAGAGAAGACGCAGGGGACCCGAGGCCGCACTGCTCTAGGCTTGGTCTTGCTGTCTCTCCCATTGGGTGCTGTGTCGGGGAGATGAATGCTGGGGACACACGTGTGACAGGGTCCACACTACGCCCCTGACTCGCAGTCAACCATCTCCTCCTGGGAAAACGGGAAGACCCCGTCACTGCGCCAGCTCCCAGCTGCTGTGGCACTTCCAGCTCCAGAGCCCCTGCCCCGCTTCCCCGGGACACCCCCCTCACCGTCTCTCATCACTGAGGTTCCTCTCTCTCTCCCCCTCCCTCTCCCTCTCCCTTCCTCTCTGAACCAATACAGACATATTTTTAAAGTTTCCAGAAAAGCAGAAACTTCATATTCCTTATTATAGTCGTCATGACGTTACCAAAAATAGCAGCAATGATGCGTCAGAATTCACACCAACACTGGTGACCGGATTGTTGGACCAACACCGGTGGCCGGACAGACTTTCATCCGCGTGATCGGCTAGTTGGTAAGGGAGCACTTCACACCCAGCCTGAAGGGCGACTGGGAGGGAATTCACCCATTCGCTGGCAGGCCAGGCCCACGCTGACCCCCGCCCACGTCCCTACTCGGACCCTGTCTGGCCTTGTCTTGGGGAAATCAACAAGGAAGCTAGTGGAGAGCCTAAGAGGTACGAGCTGGGGCCGGGCCGGGTGAGAACGGAGCAGCAGCCCCTGACCGCCCTCCCAGGCCCCAGGCCCAGCACAGGGCGTTCAGATGCAGATCACCGGCTGGGTTCCTGCAGTGACAGCAAATCAAGTAATTATTCGCAGCAAAAAATGAGAACACAAAGCTCATATTGTTCCTGGCACATCATTTATGCGAACACAAAGCTCATATTGTTCCTGGCACATCATTTATAACAGAAAATTGGTTGTGACCTGTATAATGACCTCAAAAAAAGGAGACTGTGCTGAGTGAGAAAACCTGGTAGAGGCTGGAGAGGGGGAGGGGCCGGGAGAAATGGGCTGCAGGGAGGATCCCTCACCAGGCTCTGCTCCCACATCCTCCAGTGGCGCCCGGAGGGACGGGGGCTGTGGGAGCCCAGTCCCCTTGGGGTCCTGGCCGCGCCAAAGCACACAGCAAAGCTCCCGAGGACGGGGAGGGGAAACCAGGGTCTTCGGGCCCATGACCCGCTCATGGCTGCACAACCCGCCCTGCCACGCAGCCAGCAGGGCCGCCGGGCTGTGCCGGCCACGACCAGGGGCCAGGACAGCAGCAGCAGCGTGCCCGGGGGAAGCCGGAGAACAGAAATCATCGACCGTGGTGCTCACTCCTCACGGCCACTCAGCCTCCAGAACTAGGGGGTTCCCTCGGCCGTTCCCACTGCCAGCGCCTGGTGAGCCTGTGCCGGGGCAGCCCCGCAGGAGCCCCTCCCCCACTGCCCGGGCTGCCTTAGGCTGCCTCCATCAGGCACACCTGCTGCCTTAGGCTGTGTGCCCGCACTCCTGGGGGCAGGACAGAGGCTGCCTGCGCGGAAAGGGCTGCCCGTCCCCGGCTGGTCCGTGAACGTGAACAGAGCTTAAACCAGCTGGGCGAGTTTACTGAGTTACAATTACAGCCGCCACTTGAAAATGGCCATCGAGGTCCCAGGCAGGAAGGGCAGCCACGTCCCCTCGGAGACCGCCTGGCGGGCTGCCCGAGCCTGAGGGGCCCGCAGGAAGGTGCGCCAAGACCACCAGCCACAGTGAGTGACAGCCACGCCATTGCTCACGTGGATGACAGCAAGAAAGAAAAAGAAATACAACAGCTCACGTGAACCAATGTGAAGCAGACGGAGCCTCTGAGACACAGCCGGGCGGCAGCATGAGGCCGTCCTGGCGACACCAACCCCACGCACACGACACTGTCGCGCTGCTCCTCCCAAAAGCTCTTCAATTGCTGGCGAAGGCTGCAGCAAAGCTAATGCTTCCACTCAGAAGAAAATGACAGTGCACCCGAGAGAGCCTCTTAGATTCTTGAAGGAATGACTGTCGATGGCGTTGGTCCTTACCCAGCCAGCGTTATCCGGGGCGGTGCGGGGAGGGCGGGTCCCGAGGGCAGAGCAGACCCCAAGGCTGCGGCCGGCTGGGCTCCGTGGTCCAGCTGCAGAGAGTCAAGGCCAGCATATTTTGAATTAGTGGATGTTTTAAACCAGGGGTCCTCAAACTACGGCCCGCAGGCCACATGCAAATACAAATATTGTATTTGTTCCCGTTTTGTTTTTTTACTTCAAAATAAGATATGTGCAGTGTGCATAGGAATTTGTTCATAGTTTTTTTTTTAAAACTATAGTCCAGCCCTCCAACGGTCTGAGGGACAGTGAACTGGCCCCCTGTTTAAAAAGTTTGAGGACCCCTGTGTTAAATGTTCCTTCCAGTCAGCCCCTAGCTACAGAGGAAAACAATCCTTCTCCTGGTTTATCTTCAATCCCTTCCCAACAAGTCTGGGTCTGGTAGCAGGAACTGCCATCAGCCCCGAAGGCTCCAGCCCAGGTGGCGGCCACAGCCAGGAGCCTGGCCACAGGGCGCGGAGGCCAGGGGCCCTGACTGCGGACCGAGGGACGCCTGGGACCTAGGGCCAGGCCACCGACCAGCTGGCAGGCAGCACACACAGCGGTCAGCCGCTGGCTAGAACACTGTATTGGACATCTTTTTCATTTTGTGAAATAAATTCAATTACCAATCTCTGTAAACTAAAAATGGCCAGTATTATTATATCCTTAGTGTAACATGAGCGATCTTCACATTTGATGTCTCATTAGCAACCATTACTTTTTCATCTATTCAAAAGGAGCATTTCATAGTCAACATTAACGAATTCAAAAGCAATGTCGTAATCTCTGCTTTATCCACGGCCGTGGCTCTCCTGGTTCCAGCTTATTTTTCTTTGTTCCTCAGCAGCGTGGCTCACAGGGAAAGGAAAAGCTAGCAACATCGCTGACCTAATTTTCTCCCTCTCAGAGCTTGAAGAAATGAAAAGGGTTGGATACATTTAGGTTTTGAGATTGTCTATATCACAGCTAAACGCCCTATCCTGTCCCTCCACTGAAAACTTGAAATTTTAAAATAAGCTTTACTTACGCAGTACAGCCTGGGAAAAACAGCGTTTTACCCATCCTCCTCCTCGCCCTCCTCTCGCCTCTTTTTAAATTGTGTGTCTCCGCTGCCTGTTGGGGCTCGAGGACACTGAGCAACCACTCTGTGCAAAGCCTCCCACTGGCACGGGGACTCCATTCACAGGAGGGACGTGCCCGTGCATGACTCCGTCCCAGACACCCGTCCCCGTGGCCGTCCAAAGAGCTGCGATTCTTTTGGAGAAAGGATCTCACGGGGCTGAGGCCATTCTTTGCATAAACCAGGGGCAGTTTCTTCCCCTCTGCTTAGGCCCAAAGTAACGCAGAGAAAAAGGGCCACGCAGGCAGCAAATCTAGGGCAACCTTTGCTGGGACCCACAGCCTTCTTCAGCGGCGTTTGGCACCCAGGAGTGGAGACAGGAACCCACCTCCCTGGCACCTCGCTGGGATGCGGGTTCTGGGCGGGGCTGAGAGCCAAGTTTCTAGCAGCTCCGGGGATGCCCACGCGGGTCCTCGAAGTACGCCTTGAGGAGCGAGGCTCTAACAACACTCGGAACTGGGGCTGGCAAGGAAGCAGGGGTTCCAGGGAGGCAGCAAATGCATTGCTAGGAGATCTGCCCGAGGTCCACAGGGTAAGAAGTCAGGGGAGCCAGAATGGGGACAGGAATCATCACAGTCAAGGAGAGCTGAGAGGAGGTGTTGCCTAAAGGGCATTTCTCGTTTGAGAACTCCGAGGAGGAAGAGCAGTGCCACATGGGCCTTTTGGAGCTGAGGCAGTGTGGGGGTGGGGGGGGCACGGCCAGGCGGGAGGGAGGAGGTGCACGGCGCTCACAGGACCACGGCTTAGACTCATGAACATTTGATGTCTCATTAGCAACCCTTCCCTCCTGCCTATTGTATCATTTGAGAAATATTTACTCAACAAATATTAACGCTAAACCAGACTCAGAAATCTCTAGTCTGGTGGCTGTCAATCCTGGGTGTGCCGACTCCGCCCTCTGAGCCGACTCCCAACAACTCGGAGATGCTGAATTCCACATTCCCAGGGGCACTCAGGCTGCCCCCACTCCCCTCTCAGCTCCGAGGACACCCCCCTGGCCCATGTTCAGGCTGAAGACCCTGGCATCCTTGGCTCAGCCGGTTCTGGTTCCCACATCCAGCCTCTCACAAACGCTGGCGCAGCCTTCAAAGTACCCTGAGCAGCTGCTGCTTCTCGCCACCTCCATGCCCGCGGCCTGAGACTGTTAGGGCCGCGGTCTACCACAGGCCTTGCCCCCGCTCTGGGCCGGCCCCTTTAAGCCCAGTGAAGGCACAGCCCTTCCATCACCTGCCTCTTCCTCCCGCTCACGCTTGCTCACCCCAGCCCACTGTCCTGCTTGCTCTCCGTGCTGGGCCCTGCCTGGAATCTGCCTCCACGAGGCACCACCTGGCTCCCTCCCTCTGTCTTTCAAGACCTTCTCAGTGGAGCCAATGGGTCCGCCTTCCTCCCACGGACCCCCATGCCCTGTGCCCATCCTTTGCTGTCCCGGCGCACAGTGTGACTCCCTTTTTAGGTCTGTCTGCTGTCTGTCTCCTGGAGGAGCTTAGCGTCATGTGTCTCATGTTGCTTTGCTTTTGGGGACAAAGAGCCGCATCTTGGTCGGGTCCACCCCTCTCAGGCCTGTCGCTGTGGGAAGGGGCTGAACACTTGGTAAATGGTTCACTGTGGATCTTTAAATGGAGGATAATTGTATTTCCTGAGAAATCCCAACTTTGACAATCAAAATTTCAAGAGACAGTTGTTGTTTTTTTGTTAAAACATGACTCACTTGTTGTGTAATGAGATTTAATTTTGCTGGCACTGGCAAAAATCTTCCTACTAAAGTAGTCACTGGTTTAGGGACATCTGTAAGGAAGACAATTAAAATTAATTGATGCATATATTGTTTTCCTTCCACGTGCACACGGAAGAATGTTCAAACATGAAATGTATCATGGATTTATCATGTGCAAAGTCATTTAAATTTATCTTCATCCTCTGTTTTTTATCCTATAAAAACTTTCAAGTCAATGTAAGTTTTTACTAATTACACCCTTTTTCTTTGCCATAAAGCTACTTAGCTTGAGCTCCATGGATAGATTGTCTATCCTAAACAATGTCGCATACCCAGGTTCCCAAACTGCTGGCTGAGGTACCCTGGAGCAGGCAGCACACTCACCAGGAAGCCGCCAGAAAGTTTATTTTCAAAGAGAGCACAGCGACATCTGCTGGTCACCAGGTGAAGTACTTTCCATTTATGTGTTTCTTTTCCAACTGGTTACTTAGTGGTTAGGATGTAAATACTGATCAGGTTATTTAGCCCAAACTACTTAAGGAGTAGAACTGGTAGGTGTTTCTTGGGCCCAAGGGCACAGTGACAAGCATTCCTGAGACACCAAGGGCTTGGTGGGTCCCAGTGGAAGGAGACGTGCCTTCGTCTCCCGAATCACCCACCTGCAGCCTCTGAGTGATGCTACCTTAAGACTTAGGTCAGGATACAGTTATTTTATGCTGATACTTAGTATGTTTACAGCATCACCAAGGGGACTAGGCAAGGGAATGGGGATTATATGACAAGGAAGTCCTCCTGTGGATCCAAAGGCACTGGGGCTTGCCACGGCCAGGAAGCGGGGTGGGGTGGGAAAGAACGCCCTGCCTATGTGAGGACCAGAGACAGCTCTGACTCCAGGGGACGGAGCCCGAAAGCTGCGGCTGGGAGGACCATGCCCGCCCTGCTCTGCACAGTGAGACAAGGCAGAGTCCCGAAGGCCTTGGCTGTCCCTGGATGGAGGGACTGTCGGATGGAAGAGGGTCACTCTCTCTCTCTCTGCCCAGACTGCAGGTCCAGGAGAGGACATCTGGGTTTAATGTGGATTTAAATTATGGGCAGTGAATCTGGTAAGGAAATATTCTGGTTAAATCAAGATTTGGAGAAACGCAATTACATATACAGTCCACATAGAAATGCCCAGTTTTGAAGAATTCTTGTCTACCTTCTGCAAGCACAACCTGAAAGCTACACCATTCAGTCTCTTTAGTCATGCCTAAGGCGTTACAGGATAATCACGTACCTGCATGTCGCTTATTACTATTGTGCCAGTTTGAAGAAGTTGCCGAGTAAATGAGTGTCAGATAATTAGCATTTTATGCAGTTATTTCAGAACTCCTGGGGATTATATGAAGGCGTTTCCCTTACACGCAGTTTATACACCCGAAGGCCAACCCCCACTCAAGCTGGGAGGGCTGATGCGTCAACCAGGCACCCCCAGCACACCGGCCTGCTGGAAGGAGTTGTCACCTGTTAGGATGGCAAGCCGTCCACAGCTAGCTTCCGCGGCTATCCCAACACTCAGACAGTCAATGGAAGGCACACACATGGTCTATAAAGACATTTTTCCATTCTTAGCTCGCTGCTATGGAACATGAAGTCTGCCAAATTGCCTCCCTAATACCCTCACTGCCTATCTCACTTTTTTTCAATATACAAAGCCAAACATGGTCACTTACCAACTTACAGACAGGACATAACTTTTGGATGAATTTACTTTGTACCTGACTGCAGAGCACTGTTTTGGTCTTGATACTGAGGAACCAAATGGAGTGCTTTCAGTTCTCTGGCGCTTGGGTTGTCTATGCGCAGCATTGGTGTCCCGCCTTTCAGCTGACACAGCACCTGGAATGAAACACAGGGGTCAGGTCTCATTGTCAAAGCCGCCCCGGGGGACGCTGCCCCCCTCCCACGTGGGAGTCTGTACTTGCTCTTCAATAAATTCCCACCTTTGCTATAAAAAAACAAAACAAAAAACTGCCCCAGAATGAACCCACAGGAACTTCCAACAACAACATAGCTTTAGTCTGGAATTTATGTTTTCTTGGAAAATGGCAACCAGCCCATCTGTTCTCGATTCCTCGCTCCACCACACGCTCTCTGAGACGGTGGCTGGGCTCACAGAGGCCCCTGCCGCCTCCTCCTCCAGGCCACGGGAGCGCAGAGCGCACCGAGCTGCCCTACCCCAGCCCACTCAGTCTTCTTTAATTTCATGACAATTGCTCTTTCTTGCCACACTCATGTGTTTAGTATGTGGGATTTTTTTAAACGTCTATTAATGTTATTTCTTACAAGTACAACTTAGAAAGGTTAATCCAAGAACTGGAAAATTCTAAGAAGCCACGTCAGTGTTCCTGGGCCTGGCCAGCACTCAGGCCACCGGGCTGGGCTCTGACCCGGAACACACCCTCCGTGAGGCAAGGGCCCGCCAGCCAGGGACGTGGGTCGGGCAGAGCCGGGCTGGAGCCCTCGCTGGTGGCCCCGTCCCGGGAAGGGCAGCAGTGGTTTTGCCCACACAGCTTCCCCTTAGGGAAAACCACAAACACCGGCCGGCTGTGCTTCTGCCCTCCGTGGCCTTTGGGCTCCGAGCAGGACAACTCGAGCCTAAAGGACCAGTGTTACCGGTCTCAGGAGAGCCCGTGCTCGTGAGGCGCTCCCGGCAGAGCTCTGGGCACCGACCCTGGACGAGGGCCAGCATTCGTGTTCAGTGGGAGTTTATTCGTATTTGGAGGGTTAAATTACAGCCGTGCACGCGCGAGAGAGGCGCAGGGTGGACCCCAGGCCTTGTCCATCGAGCACCCGGGGGGCCTGACTCAATGGTCTGGTGTAAATGGAGGAGACCCCGCCCTGCTCAGCTGCTCTGTGTGTCCTGGAGAAGCTCTGCCCTCACTCCCCGGGGCCTGACAGAGAGGCGAGTGCCGTGCATGCCAGAGCTAAGCCGGGTTCATTCCCTGGCAAAGTGTGGGCTTAGGGCGAAGGCCTCCTCCCTCAGAGTCAAGAGCTGTGGGGGTAGGGGGCAATCTTGGTTGTTGGGCTCTTTGCTCACGGAATGCTTGGGGCGGGCCCGAATCCTAGAGGCGCCGGATGGGCCGACTATGTAACATCTGTTTCTTAGCCATAAAATGAAGACAAAAATAATGCCCACCCTACAGACTGGATAAGAGAATTTCAGGAAAGTAGCACACAGACCACACGTGTCACTGACTGCCTTTCCGAGAGGAGTGCTGGTGGTATTAGGACTTGGAGGTGGGCAGGGAGGGCAGCAGCCTGGGCCCTGCAGCCGCAGCCCGCCTCCCACCCACAGGCCACCACCCACGTGCCACCCGCTCAGCCGGCTGCTGTCAGGCCGCCTGGGTCTGCGCTGACTGATGTGACGTGTGGTCACTGTCCTTAGAAACACAGCCATGTCCTCATCCTTGTTTGACTTGCCGCATCTGGCTGGAGTGAGGGTCTTGGAGCAGGAGGGTTAGGCGGCTCGAATGCCCTCTGGGGGAGACAACCAAAATGCTGACTCAGCAGGCACACGCTGCCTGACACCACCAGTGCCGTCGGCTCGGTCACGGCGATACAGGCCCCGCATCCACACAACAGCCGCTCTCCCGGCAGGGTTACCATGGTGTTCCCGTCCTTCTGAGAGCCGCCCAGGGCGTCCTCGGTGTCCTGTGAGCACGGGAACTTGCAGGGCTCCTGGGACGGAGGGTTCTGCAGAGCGGCCTCCTCCACGCTCTCACTGGGCACAGCGCCACCTTCTTCCTTCACTTCCACCTGGAAAAGCGGTCGCTGCTCAGGAACCACGTGGGGGACATTGGGTGCAGCAGCTGCACAGCACAGAACGTTCTCTCTGGAAGTCACACTTGGCCTGCGAGGCTCCTTCCTCACCCTCCCTCCCTGGGGCACAGTCATCCCACCCGCCCGTGGGGTGCAGAGGTGTGATCTCCACGTGGCCCTGTGTGACCGAGCAGACTCCCAGGTCAGTGGGCGCCCCTCGAGCTGCTCGCCAGCCCCCACTCCCCTGGAGCTGCCTCCAGCGGGACCGTCCTGAGGTGCCCACCCTTCAGCGCCCCCTGAGAGCAGGCTCGTCGGCTCTGTGGAACCTTCTGGCCCATTGTTTCTGCTGTTTCCTCGCAAAGCCTGCAGTCCCTGCTGCTGTTTGGTGATATCTATAATGTAACTTACAGCGCGCTGCTAGCGATAGTTAGTGTGGCGCTTCCCTAACTGAACAGTAGGACAACCTGAGTATGAAAGTGAGGGTGGGCAGGACCGCCACCTTTGTGTCTCAGCTGTGCTCTACGCAACTGTCACCTCAGTGACACCAGCCAATTACCAAGAACAGGGAGAAATACCATGATATTACTGAAAATCAATGGAGTAAGGAAGACACTAAAAAGTTTCAGTTAAAAAAATTACCATCAGAATTGAGGGTTTTAAAATTGAGATGCTTTTTCAATGATAAGAATGTAAGGAGGGCTGCCCTTGGTTTTTCTCAGTGGTTAGAGCATTGGCCTGCGGACCCAAGGGTCTCGATTCCCGGTCAAGGGCATGTACTTTGGTTGCAAGTTCAATCCCCAGCCCTGGTCAGGGCACATATGGGAGGCAACCACTTGATGTCTCTCTCTCTCTTTCTCTTTTTTTTAAAATATATATTTTATTGATTTTTTTACAGAGAGGAAGGGAGAGAGGTAGAGAGTCAGAAACATTGATGAGAGAGAAACATCGATCAGCTGCCTCCTGCGCATTCCCTACTGGGTATGTGCCTGCAACCAAGGTATATGCCCTTGACCGGAATCGAACCTGGGACCTTTCAGTCCGCAGGCCGACGCTCTATCCACTGAGCCAAACCGGTTTCGGCGTCTCTCTCTCTTATCGATGTTTATCCTCTCTCTCTCTCTCTCTAAATCAATGGGGGGGGGGAGAGATAAAAGAAAAATAAATAAAAATCAATGGGAAAATATCCTTGAGGACTAAAAAAAAAAGAATGTAAGGAGGGCGGAAAACAGTTAACCTAACCGTGCACCCGCTGCCCCCACCCTTAGGCTTCACCTGCCCAGCTTGCTGTGAGATAGGGCAGGTAACCCTTCAAAAAAGATGGTGTTTGTATGGGAGTCGTGCCAGGACCAACAGGCAGAAGCTATCAGGGCAAGTTTGGCAAATGAACATTCACGCTGGCTGAGAGGTTCTGCGGGAGACCTCTGTGTGAGGAGGGCTTGGGGCTGCCTGCTCTGTGGTCCCTTCCCAGTCAGATGGAACCTCTACACCAGGGGTCCTCAAACTTTTTAAACGGGGCCAGTTCACTGTCCCTCAGACCGTGGGAGGGCCGGACTATAGTTTTAAAAAAAAAAAACTATGAAAAAATTCCTATGCACACTGCACATATCTTATTTTGAAGTAAAAAAACAAATGTTTTTGGCGGGCCGCATGTGACCCGCGGGCCGTAGTTTGAGGACCCCTGCTCTACACCAAGGAACAGTGCTTGCGCTAAAATAACCAAAACACCAGAAAGCAGAAATCCAAGGTGCTGCTGCTGGCGTAGCGGACGTGGAGTCCGGCTCCAGCCATCTCAACAGTAGTGCAAAGGCTTAGCCCAGGGGTGGGCAAACTTTTTGACTCGAGGGCCACAATGGGCTCTTAAACTGGACCGAAGGGCTGGAACAAAAGCATGGATGGAGTGTTTGTGTGAACTAATATAAATTCAAAGTAAACATCATTACATAAAAGGGTACGGTCTTTTTTTTTTTTTTTTTTGTTTTATTTATTTACAACAGGCCGGATCCGGCCCGCGGGCCGTAGTTTGCCCACGGCTGGCTTAGCCTATGACCTACTCAAAGGATTAATGGTTGAGTAACCTAGCTTCCAAACTAGATCCTTCAGGGGTGAGGGGTGGGGAGTAGGAAGTGGTATACATTTCCTTGGGATCCTTTGCTTCCTTTAAAAATAAATTTGTTGCCTTGGCCGGTTTGGTTCAGTGGATAGAGCGTTGACCTGTGGACCGAAGGGTCCTGGGTTCGATGCCGGTCAGGGGCACATGCCTGGGCTGAGGGCTCGAACCGCAGTAGGGGGCGTGCAGGAGGCAGCCCATCCATGATTCTCTCTCATCATTGATGTTTCTCTCTCTCTGTCCCTCTCCATTCCTCTCTGTGTGAAATCAATAAAAAATATACTTTAAAAAATGAATTTGTTTAGCAAGGACAGAGCAGAAAATTATCGATGATTTTCTTCAGCAAAGGAGGGTAGTTATCTGAGAGCTGGCAGGAGTTCGCTGTGCTCTGTAGGACACAGGCGTTCTCAATGTAAAGGGGGAGAAGGCTAAAGGCAAGAACATGAAAAGCCAACCACGTTGCGTTTGTTTTCACAGACACCGTTACTCTGACCATCAGGGCTCCTCTCCCCGTGTGACCCACTTTCCAGTCCTTTTCCTCTGTGGTCGGGCGCCCCCTGCAGGGCTAGGCCAGGTGTGAACCAGGGACCCAGGACGTGATTCACCTGCAGGCTGAACGGTTACAAAGGGCTGCACCCTGTGTGGCCGGACACCAACCAGGGATGGGGCTGACACAGGGACATGCCGGGGCAGCCAGCAGCCTCCCCGCCCGGCTCCCAGAGGGCTGAGGGGGTTCCGTGCCCAT